AAAGTTTAACAAAAAATACCGCATTTAACCCGTAGCTTGGTAATTACCCGCTTTTGCATTAATTAACTTTTAATATATTGTTCCTTTTTTACCTTTTTTATTTAAAAAGCAAGCTTGGGTAATTACCGAAAGGGATCGAGCAAATTTAAAAAAAGCATTTGCAATTTTGTACCGCTTATAATAACGCTTAACGCTACGTTAAGCACGTTAAAAAAAGCCGTTAAACCATTGGAACAAAATATTAAAAAAGCCTTGCAAATTTTTAACAATTTCGAAAAAATTTTCGTAAAAAAGCTATAAAAAATAAATAATGCGTTAAAAATTTAAAACAAAGGTGCCCGTTTAATTTAAAAAATTTAAAATAAAAAGTTAAAGCATGCGCGTAAAGGTTTAAACAAAAAAAAAAAATACTTTTAAATAACGAAAAGGTTTTACGTAAAACAAAATTACTTTTAAACCACCCATATTTAAAAAGTTTGCAATATAATAAAACATTGTTTATTATATTAATAATTATAAATTTATTTTTAAAAGCAAAAAAAAAACGTTACGGTAAAAACCGTGTAAAGGTATAAATAGCTTTTAGCATTTTTAATTATTAATAACGGGTATAATGGATAAAATACAAGCAAATGCACTATTTAAATACCGGGGTATTGTTTATTTAAGCCGATTTTTTTGCGGTAATTTTAAGCAAAGTTAAAAAACCCCAATTTGCGGATATAGCTAGCAATTAAAAAGCTTGCGGGGAATACCGTTATTAAATAAAAGGATTACAAATTGTTCGAAGCGTTTTAAATTTGCTAGGTTAGGATTTAATAAAAAACAATTTTTCTAAATTAGCACCCGAATAAATAAAAATAACATTGCTTTTTAACCGGTTCCGCCCCAAAATTTAAAAACGGGTAATATTTAAAAGCTTTTTTTACATTATAAAAAAATTGCAAGCTAAAACTTTTAAAGCAAAAATAATATCGAAACCGCATAAAAGGATGCCGGGGGATACCGATGCTTTAACCGTTAAAAAGCCGGTTATTTGCTTTAAATACGGGCAATTGGGTTACATTGCTACAGCATGCAAAATACAAACGGATAACCCGAAAACCCCGTTGGTTTTATTAATTATATAAAAAGCGAAAAAAAAGGCCCGAAATACGGTATTACGGGTATAAAAAGCTGGGTTATATCCGGCCAGCGTGCTTTAAAAAAAGCAAAATATTGTTATCCAATTTAATACCGCTATTTGGCCGTTTAAGCACCGGGGCTTAAAAATGCGCCCCGGCGGTTAAAACGCGTTGGAAAACCGAAATGTATTTACAAATTAACGGTTACCGGGTAAAGTTAAAAGCGCTGGTTAATAATGGGAGCAACGTTAATTTGTTGCATAACCGTATTTTAATGGAAGCAAAAAAAACACCGGTGCCAAACGAAAGCTATTTAACGTAATTCGATACCAAAAAACGCATGCTTACGCTAAAGGTAAAAAAGTACAAAATTTAAGTAACAAATAATTAAAAAATAACCCGAAAGTTAATAATATTTTACGTAATAATGCCCCGGGCCGGGTATAACATTACGTTAAACATGCTTTAATTTTAACAAAAAAACATTAAAATTCGATTTGGAAATATAAAATAAAAGTTTCCGGTTATTACCAAAAAAATTAAAATAATTTTGTTGGAAATAGCTAAAAAGCTAATTTAATTAAAACAAGCAATAACCGTATTAACGGTTGCACGTTTAAAAACCCCGAAAAACCCCGGGAAAAAGCTAAAAGCTTTCCCGAAATGGGTTAAAAAAAATGGTTGCAAAATATGCGCAGCTTTATAAATTAAACCTTTTGTTAAAACATACAAGCTAAAATTACGCGATCGAATTAAAAAAAAAATAATGCCGCTTTATAAAAGCATTTATTTTTTATCCAAAAAAAATTAAAAACTTTTCGGGGGTATTTTAACAAAATTATAACGAAAAGTTGGATCCGGCATTTAACCAATTCCGCCGGCGCCAAAATTTTATTCATTTTAAAAAAGGACGGAAAGCTTTGCTTTTGTATTAATTATTGGGGTTTTAACAAAATTACCAAAAAAAACCGGCTAATATTGCCGTTAATTTACGAAATATTTAACCGGGTATTTAAAAGTTAATACTTTACCAAATTGGATTTAAAAAATGCTTATTACAAAATACGGATTAGATAAAAAAATAAATGAAAAATTGCTTTCCGTTGCAAATATAAACATTATGTTGGTAAGAATTTGGTACTCCTGTTTTAAAGCTCGGAAATTTCCTGGTAAAGGTAAACAACGATTTTAATAATTTGGGAAAAATCTTATTATTGTGCATACGGAAAAAGGAATTTATTTGCTAAAAAAAGGCACAAAATTGCCTTTTATATGCGCAAAGACAATTACCCAAAAAGTGGTTTTTTGCTTTGCTTAAAGCAAATAAAATTAGCCCGTGCAAAATTTGGAAAATTTTAAAGCTTTTTGTAATAATTTCCTTTTCCGAATTGCACGCGCACCGCAATGCTATTTTAATACCGGCACTATTTTTTTTTGTACGCGGGCAACGGGTAAACCTTTTTATTAAAAAAAAAAGGTTTTATTTAAAAATTGCTAGGATTTTTAAAAAGCTTTATTAAAATGGATTTAATAAAAGAAAAATATGCCGGATTTGGAAATCCGGGCTTTTACTTAAAAAATGAATAATAGCAAAAAAAAAAAGGTGGTGTGCGTTTTTAACGCGGCAAAAAGCTATTTAATAAATTGCTTTAATAAAAAACAATATTAATAAGCATTTCGTTAGCTTTTGGGGTTTGCATTTATAAAAAGCACTTTTTTTACTTTAATTGCAATTTAGTAAATTTAAATTTGTAAAACTTTTTTTTTAACCTTGCTGCTTTGCCCGTTTTGCTTTTAATTTTCCGATTAAATATTCCTTACTTTCCCAAATCGCTTTGCAGTTAAAATGGTTATTCCGAAAAAAAAAACCTTTTTGGCAATTGCAAAAGCCGCCGGTTTAAAAAGCAAAAAGGTTTCGAATAAAAAAATAACGAAAGCGAAATCGACATTTAAAATGGTTAAAGCAACGAAAAAGTTTAGCTTTAGCCAAACCCGGTTTAAAATTAAATTAATAATTTTGCCGATTATTTCGAAAAAAAAATTACGCTTGCTTAGGATCCGTTTAAAAATCCGGTTATTATTTTGCTTGCTAATTTTTACGTTAATTCGGTTTACAATCCGGTTATTAACCTTTCCAAATTTGTTAATTTTTACAAAATTAATTCCGGAATTACGCGTATTAGTTTTTTTACGTTAATTAATACAACGAATGCGTTTGCAAAACCTGGATTAAATCGGTTAACGGGTTGTTTCGATAAAAAAAATTAAGCTTTTTTTAATTGGCAAATACAAAAAAAAGCTAAATACAACAATTTAACTTTTATTAATTCGGGGATTTTTAAATTCGTTAAACGTGCTTTCGAAAAAGCGGAAAGCGCGTATAATGCACGTTTTAAACGTTATTTGGTTTTTGCGCAATACCGTTGCGTTAAATTTGCGAAACGTGCTATTACCCAAACGGCATTTGGGCTTTAGCTAAAGTATACCGGTTTAATAAAGCCGCAAAGCAATTTTATGTTTCATTTAAATGGAAATTTTATTGCGCAAAAAGCTAATTGTAAAAAAAAACGGAATTTGCAAAATTTTTAATTTCCCAAATTTAAAACGGATTTTTTACCGAATAGCGCGAACAAACCAAATTTTAGCTTGTTTTTTTTAATAATGCAGTAAAAACGGCATTTACCGAATAATACGAGCAAACCAACGCTTAATTTATGCTTTTTATTAATATAACCAATACGATTTCCACAAAACAATACAAACAAGCTAACGCTTAACCCGTTTTTTTTGTTAATATAATGGAAACGATTTTTACCAATTATTAAAAGCAAACCAAAGCTTAATTTAAGCTTTTTAAATAATTAAAGGCCGTTTTAATGCAATTATAAAATTTATTGGTTATATTTATTTTTATCGATTCGTTTAATAATTAGGACAAGCAAGTTACGGTTTAATTTAAACTTTTTAAACAATTAAAAGCTATTCCAGCGCAACCATAAAATTTATTAAATGTAATTGTAAATATCGATTCGCCCGCTTAACAATTTAACGCTTATTTCGATTAATTAATTCCCGGAAAAAAAGGGGAAAAAAAAGCAAAGTTTTTTTTAAAACTCCTTTTCGTTCCATTATAAGTAATAAAAGCCCAATATCCTTTGCAAGCTTTAATAAACGCGGTTAAAAAAAAGGATTTCCAATCGATTTTATGCTTAAAATGCTTTAAATTGATTTTAGCTAATAAAATGTTTAAATTGGATAACGGTAATAATTGTTGGAACCAAATTCCAAACAAAAAAAGGTATTGGCTATACGCTTCGGGCTATATATGCAAGCCCATATAAGCATTCCAATTTTTAAAAGCTTATTTACCGGTTTAAATTAACAATTTTTTTTAATCCTTTTATAATTATACGTTTTGCTTTTAAATTCCTTTTTATTTAGCGTTAAAATAAAAATGTTTGCAAAAAAAATGTAAGTTTTTATTTTTGGGTTAAATAATTTAAATATTTATTTAACAAGGTTTATTTGTTTGCAAAAACTAAATAAATAGCGAATTATTTGCAAAATGCTTTTATTTTTTGCTAAAAAAAACGCTGGCAAAAACGGCACGTTCGTTAAAGCTAACGATAACCTTTTTACGATAATATGAACGGAACGTAATAAAACGGGCCGATCGGCAATTTTCCGTATATAAAATGCTGCGGCCTTTATAAAAATAGCGGATAAAAAAACCAAAAATAAAGGAAATTTAAAAAAATAATGGTATCGTTTTTTTAAATTTTTATTTTATTGCTTCCATCGATTATGGAAAGTACGGTTCCATGCTTTGCGCGCTGCGTTTTTGGGGTTAATAGCTCGTTATAAAAATGGAAAAAAAAATTAATTAAAGCAATTTTTAGCTTTTTTTTACTTTTAATTTTGCTTTACCCGTTTTTTAACCTTTACCGTTGTAATGTTAAAACTAACGAAATTTTTAAAAGCTTTATTTGGTTAATTTTTGGTTATAGCGTTTGTAAGGTTATTTGCTTTTGCAATTTACCGGATTTCGTTAATTTCCCGCCTTTTATAAAATTCGCAAAAAGCTATAATATTTATTATAAAGCGTTTTTTCGTTATTGTTTTAAATTAAACAAAGCATTAATAAAGTAACAAGTTATTTATGCAAATTATTAGCTTGCAAAAAGGCAATTTTAACTTTTTGCCAATTGCAAAAAGCGTAATTTTTAAAACGTAACCAGCATTAAACCCGCTAATTATGCCGTAAATTTTGTTTGCAAAAACATTGCGTATTACCTTTTTGCATTTAACAAAGTTCCAATGCAATATATTTCCAATAATTTGAAAGCTATTTTTTTGCTTTATGCTTTATTTAACGTTAAAAATAACCAAAAAGCCAATTTATAAATTTAAATTTTTGTTGTTAGCAAAGGACCCGTTTACGAATACGTATAATTTGGCTTGTATTAAATCCATTTGCACGTAATTTAAGCCTTTATCCGCGTTATTAATTTATTATTAAATGCGTTTATTAAGCTTTGTAATGTTTGTATTAAAGGGGTTTTGGGCTTGCGCGGCCATAAAGCAATTAAATGCGGTTTCCAGTTAGCATATAAAGTTAATATACGCTTTTCGTGCGCGTTAAACCACGTATTGTTGCTAAATATTATTGCTTTTGCAAAGCACGAGCTCGAACCAATTTGTTTGTCCTTTTTATTGCATGCAAATAATCGTTTTGCTAATTATTATTTTGCAGCCGTTAAAATGGCATTTATTTTCCGGGCTTAAAATAAACCGTAGCTTGGCTTTAAAGCTTGCTTTTAAAAAAGCAATTTCCTTTTTTTGCATAAAGGCGTTATTGCTTAGGTTTAACGCATTGTTAATTTGCATATTAACGATTCCAAAGCTTTTGCCGATTTTTAAAAGGAATAAATAAAAATCGTAATTGGAAATAAAGCAATTTAAGCATTTTTTGTAATGCTTTTGGTATGTAACGAATTAATGCAATTCCGTTTCGGCCAATTTGTAAAGCGGTTTAATTAAACGAAGCAAGGTTTTAAATGGGTAATGTTGCTGCAATTTTTTAAGCAAGCGCAAATAAACGGTCCTTTGCAATTTAATTTTGGCTTGGGTATATGCTTAATTAATATTTTAAATTATTAATTAATTGTTTGTAATTATAAAATTTAATGCAAGTGCAAAAATTAAGCGTTAATTGCATTGCATAATTATTAAAAATTGGGTAAATAATATTGCCTTTTTCCAATTGCCATATTTTTGCATTACAAATTTTAATTTTTCGTAAAGTGCTAAATTTATTCCTTTAATTTTTTTAATTATTCGTAAACCAAAAATTTCCGCCAATTTATCGATTTGCTATTTTTTAATCGATTTTATTATTTTGTTAATTAGCAAGTTTTTAAATTTCTTTTAATTTAATTGTTTAAAAAGTTTGCCGGGGGTTATAATTTTGCCAATTTAGCGGTAATAAAGCGCTAAATGCATAAATTTTATTTTTTTTGCGCTTACGAAAACCAATGGGGTAATTCCCCGCGCGGCGTTGCATTTAAAGCGTTTATTGTATTTTGCAATAACCGGAAATATTGGGGGTTAAAATGCTTTGCGCGGTTTTTTTCGTTAACGCGGAAACGGCGGCGGGGAATTTTCGATTTTAAAATCGTTTTTATTATTGCTTTTTAAATTATAATTTTGGTACTTGGTAATTTTGCAAAGTCGTTTTTGGAATCGTAATTTAAACAAAGTTAAATATGCAAATGGTTTTGGTTATTTTTTTAAATTTATTATTTGCTGCTTTTCCAATTTATAGTAAAGCTTGTAAATAATGTTACGAAACGTTATTAAACCGTTTAGCATATCGATAATAATTTTATTATTTATTATTAACAAAACTTTAAAAAGTTTTTGCTATCCCTTTTTTTTCGGTATATAAAAACCTTATTTTTTAAAGCAAAAAAATTAAGCAACGTTTTTTCGATGCTCGAACCGTTGCGCGTGTTTAAAACGTTGTTAATTTTGTATTTGGCAAAAAGTTTGCGCAACTTTGCTATGGCTTTAGTAATTGTTGTTGCTCGTTAAATTTGCGTTTCCGTAAGTGCCAAATTGTTAATTAATTAAAGCATGGTATTAAAAAAGAATAGCGTAAAAATTAGCCCGTTGGGTCCAGCAATGTTTTTTAGCGCTTCAATTGCTTTTTAAAGCGTTAAATTTGGGTAAATATTAAAGCATTCCCTTTTAATTATTTCGTAAGCACAATAAAAAGGTTCGTAATACCTTTTAACCTTGTTTATTAACCAATAAGCTTTTATAAAAACTTAATAGCAAGTAATTCCAAAAAGTTTTGTTTCCGTTTGGAATTTGCTTGTAACGAAATTAGTTTTTGCATCGTAAAATACCACGTTAAGCGGGCCAAAATAAATGTTAAACCAACAACGCTTAAAAGCTTTTTAAATTTTTTTGGTTAATCCTTTTTTAAAAAAGGTTGCGGCGTTAAATGCAATATTCGTATTAATTATATAAAGCATTTATTTATTATTTAAATGCATAACGTTAACAATTATTTCGTAATTAAAATCGATATTATTTTTAAGCATAAATTTAAAGCGTTGCGGGGCGGAGCTTGTAATTTGGCAATAATGGCATACCCGATTAATTATTTGCAAAGCGTTGCAATTTGCCCAATGGTTTATTTAGTTAAGTACATGCCAAAAGCGCTTAATAAAAAAGTGGCCAAATCGTTTGTACAAATGTTTTAATTTGGCTTTTGTTAAAAAAGCACTTTTGCGCTTTAAGGATTAGTTAAATACGAAACGGTTGCCGTTATATTGTTAATTTTATCGATAAAAAACTATAAATAGCTTAATTATTTAGTAATCGATACGCGTTTGCTTTGCTTGGTTACAAATTTGTTGCGCGTATTAGCGAAATAAATTTTTAATTTGTCCATATTTTCCAAGCATATAAAAAAAGGGGTACGCGTTGGAATTATATAAAAAATAACCAATCCAACCGGGGTTTGCAAAATAATTTCGTTTAAATTATATAAAGCGTTTTTTAAACCAAAACAAATTTGGTGCTTGGCTTTGCCAATAACCATTTGGAAATTTGGCAAATGGCGTTGCAATATTTAAAATTGCGTAAAACCAACGGTTAAAACTTTCGCGGCTTTTGTATCGAGCATAATACCGCACCATTTATTTCCGTTAAAAAGTACGTATTGTTTTAATATTTGCTTTTTATTGCTTTTATTTAATCGATATTGGAAATAAGCGTAAATGCGGTAACGAAAAGCTTTATTAATGAAAAATTTTGCGGTAACAACGGTAAAAATTGTAACGAAAAGGTTTTTTTTTTATCGTTTAATTAATTGTTAAATTTTAACGTTAAGCAAATTTGTAAATTGTTTGCGGGCGCTTTATTATTTTTATTGCTATTTTTTTTTTGTATTTAAAAAAAATTAAAAAACCTTTTTTTTAATTGCCGTACTTTTAGCGGTTTTGTTTTTAACGCTTTTTCGAATTGCGCTGTTTTTTTAGCGTATGCCGCGTAAAGCGGCAATTAAGCTTATTGCAAATCCAGCATTTGTTAATATTGCGGTTTTGGAAATTAAAAAAGCATAATTTCTTAACGCTTTTCGTATTTTATAACTTATTTTTAGCGTTTTTTTTAAATTTGCGTTCGATAAAGTAATTGCCGTATGCGCTTGCGTTTTTTTCCATTTGGAAAATGCTGTGTAATTGGAAAGCCAAACCTTTAAACGTTTTTTTTAATCGTAAAAAGGCCATTTTAAATTTGGGCATTCCTTAAATTGTACGGAAAATGCTTGTAACCAATTATTGGTTTTATTGGTAAGCAAAGCCAAAAATTTGCTAATAGGTTTAAAATTTGTCCAAAAGGATTTAAAGTATTTCCATTTTATTTTTGCTTGCGTTTTTGCTTTTTAAACGAACGGTTTAAAATGTAATTAAATTTTAATCCGTATAATATTGTTGCTTGTTAATTTTCGTGTTAAAATGCTATTAAAGCTTAAAGTAAATTTTTTAAAAAAGTAACTTTTACCGATAATTTAAATAAAATAAGCTTTGGTTTGGTTTGTAAAAGCCATGGGGAAAATTGCGTGTAATTGCAAAAAAAAAATGTTAAACGCTTTATAAATATTTGCAAAAATTAAAATTTTATTGTTTAAAATGTCGTATTATTTTTTTAAATATTTGTATGCTTTGTTTTATATATTGCAAAAGGCTTTTAACAAGGTCGAATTAAGCGGTGCATTAAGCGTTTTTAGTAATAAAAGCATGCGGTACTAATTTATTATTTAAGGTGCCGGTTGGTATTGCAAAAAAATAAAGGTTAAAAAGGTTTTTCGGGGAATTAAAGTTAAAAAGGTTGCTTAAAGGATTGGGGTTTGGCTTTTTGCCAAATTTTAAGCAATAAAGTATTTTTTAAAAATCCGGGGCCGGTTTTTTTAATTTGCTAAGTTATAAAAATGGATTTTATTTAATTAATGGGTTTTTTTTGGTAAAAAGCTAACTTTTAGTTTAATGCTTAAAGGAATTAAAAAACGGTAATTTGGAAATGGTTATTTTTGCTGGGGTACCGGGGAATAAGGCTAATTTTGGAATTGGGTTTTGGTTTCGCACTTATTGCGTTCGAACTTTCGTGCTCGTCCGTTTTAAAAAATTTCGGTTAACCGCTTTTCAGTGGCTTTTTCGTTGCGGGCTTTAATTCGTGCCGAAGTTTTTGCAAATGGAAATGCAATTTCAGGCGCTTTGTTTTTATTTTAGCAATTTAACGTTAAAGGTTTTGCTATTTTTTTAAATGCTAGGTTTTAAGCATTGTTTGTATCGGTTATTAACAGGTTTAATTTTTTCGAACCTTTTAAATTTGCTTTGCTGGAAACGGTAATTTTTCGATATGTTAAAAACTTAATAAATGCTTTTAAAGCCTTTTTATTAAAGTGTTTTAAGCGTGCTAAGCTTAAACCGTTGAAATTTTTAAAAAAGGCGGAAAGGAAAAATTTACCGTTGTAATAACGGTATTTAAGCATAAATTTAGTGTTACAAAGTAAACAGTATATATTGTTATAAAAAAGCTTTAAGCATAAATATTAAATGCTTAAAGCATCGGAAAAACGGTCCCTTTGCCTGGAAGCGTGTAACGCTTTTAAGCGTTAAAAAGGAAGCTTAGTAAGCAAAAAGGATAGGGAATTACGTGTATATAAAAGGCAAAAGCCTTTACGGAACCCTGCACTTCAAATCCTTTCCTCCTTAAAGCATATTAACCGGAATAGCCTTACACCGTGCTTATCCCTTTTACTTGCAACAATTATAAGCCCGGCGATTTTTAAACCCTTTAACGTAAAGTAAAAAGCTTAGCAATACGGATTTATT